CTTAAACTCCTCCATTTGGGGCAGGAACTCGTCCCTGACCCGGAGTGGGCACTCCACCCTTTTCCGGCTGAGGACCATGGCCTCAGATTTGGAGGTGCTGATTCTCATTCCCACCACTTCACATTCGGCTGCGAACAGTTCCAAGGCAACCTGAATTATCTTCACTGATATAATCAATTTTTGAATAACAGTGTCAATCTGTTGTACCATTTTACCAAAAGACCAGTATTTTTTCAAATTTTGACTTTTTTTTTTTCTTTTTTGAAAAGGTCATGTCTCCCTTCTTTGCAATAAGTCAATCAGTTGTAAGAGCAGACATCACATGTTCAAATGTATTCACCTACATTTGAAAGTAAAGTAATTTAGGGCGAGTTTATGCATCACTGGTTGTGTTCTTCCTATTTCCCATGCACTGTCTTGTGTTTTACTATAAAGGCCAGGCAGTGTGCGCTATGCTGGGTTCACTACACTGGTGTATGAAGCACGGATTCATGCTGCTCCACATGAAAACCCAAATTAATAGCCAACCGCAATGCTGACTGAAAGGTCTCTCATCCATCTACAACCAGATGTTCAGCTGCAGAGTCCGATGAAGAGACGGACATCTGTCTGATGACTCTTGTCTCTATTACAACACTCTGATTAATACTCTCGTTACAGACCCATGGATCTGAGCTGTTGCTCAATTTTCTGCCTCTAATTAGGAGACTCATTTAGTCTTGCTCTGGTTCCACCTCTCTTACAGGGTCCTCTCTCTATAAGGACCACTGAAGGACCATAAGTGACCAACACACATTCATACGCCTCTCACCCACTTAACTTATACCCTGTGTGGGTTAATGTAATGAACCTTTATACTGCAGCTCATCAGTATTCTAAAAGCAAACCAAGGTTTGTCCCTGGATCAAGTGGAGTCAGTGCTCTCCACCCACGCTCAAGAACATTACATTAGTATTGACTGCCCTCTGCTCCACCCAGGATTTATAGTACAAAATAATGGGAATGGACTTCAGTTCAAACTCTTCTTAACCTCACAATGTTTTAATAAAAACTTAAGGCATGTATTCACTAATGTGGGATATATTATGTGATTTATACAAAAGTGTGACTTTACCTGCAATTGTCATTTCTCTTAACTAAAATAAAATAAAAAAGAATATAAAAGAAATAGCCTTACTTTAAATATTTGTTAGTTTGGTATAAAAAATGGCATTACAACTTGCCTGATGGGGATTTAAATGAACATGTTTATGTAGACTTTGCATCTCTACAAGACTGAGAGTCCACTGCTTCCAAAAAGTTGTGTTTTTGCTGTAATTCCTTTACTGATCGTCCGAAATCTTGCCTCTATAATATACAACATGTTAAATAACAATTAAAAAGACTAAAACCAACTCTGAAAATAATAATAATACTAATAATAATAAATTAACTAAAAAAAAAAAACACCGTGGAAACTAACTGAAGCTAAACTAACTTAAAAACTAAGAGTCAAAATGATATAAATATAAAAACTATATAGATAATACGAAACTAAAATATCGGAACTAATATTACGGAACTACAATTCCCAGAATGCCTCGGAGAGCCACGGCCATGAGTTGTGTGACTGCCACCGGACGGCTGTCGATGGAAAGTGCAGGGAAACGTGCTCAGTGACAGTCATACAAGCATGCACGCAGCTCAGCGCCGACCAGCTTCAGCAGCAGACATGTAAAAAGATGGATTAGAAAATAATGTCCCTCGCCTATCATCACCATCATCACCACTACCATGTTCCCGGGAGTTTTCTATGCACTGCTGGCGGGTTTCCTCGGGGCCGTGGCGTCGTCCTCGGCCAAACTGTCGCTGGGAGCCGACTACCTGAAGGGTGTCTGTGAAACCGGACTCCGGACATGGGGAGAACAGCGGAAATTCAGACAGGCGGACGAAACTACCGCCTGTGACCGGGTGAGGCATTGCCGCCGTTAAACTCGCTTTAATTATTAACACAGTGAGGGTGAATAATAATGTTCGCCTGCGAGCGGGGTGATTTCTCACGAGGGAAGTTAGGGGGGTTATCCCCGCCCGCCTCTCCTCACAGCCTCCCTCAACATCAGCACCATCTGCGGCATCACACTGGGGGAGCCCGCGCAGGCAGCGGCGCGCTCGTGGCGTACCCGCGCCCCCGAAGCACACCACTACAGTCACTTGTATTAAGGCGTTGTTTTATTCTATAAGCGTAAAAATTATCTCTGCGTGTAGATAATAAGCTAAACGGCTGGTATCTGTTGGTGAGGATGTCAAGTTTTTCTGTGAATGACCTTCAAGCTGCCTACATACGTCACACAGTGATGTCAGAAACATCTGCAGGCGGCTGTCTGAAGCCTTAAACTGTAGAAACGTGGAAAGCAGCGACCCCGATACGTGATTTAAGGCACAAATGAATTGACAGAATTGCAAATTAGGATTGCAGGTGGATGCAAAGCGTATGTAAAGGCGGTTACTTTGCACCACGAGATTTGCCTGCCTCACATCAGACTACAGGACGTGGAAACATAGAGAAAAACAAACAGGAACAATGTACTGTGAAGCTTTGGAAAGTAAATGTTAGAACTAAGTGACTACCTTTGGCCACTGGCCCCTCTATGAGCATGATACTGCTGGGAGTTTCTTCCTGTTAAAAGGGAGTTTTTCTTTCCCACTGTCGGGAAAGAGCTAGGGGTCTCTCTCATTGTTGGGGTTTTCTCTGCATTATTGTAGGGTCTTCACCTTACAGTCTAAAGCGCCTTGAGATGACTCATGTGATTTGGCGCTGTATAATTAAAACTGAAGTGAATACCTTTTAACTAAGCTACATGTCTTTTGGAGATGCATGGTACAACAAATTGTTTTATACTGTGTGTTGGCGTATTTCTTTTGTGTTTCACAGGGTCACATTCATTACATTAGATCATCTAGCATTAGAGCTAGTACAGTTTAGTACAGCATCAGTTTAATGATAAGACTAAAGTCAGTGTTGCTTTCGTCTCTTTTTGGGAAATGGATTATACTCAAAATAAGAAGAAGGTGTAGAGAAAGTCTGTATCAACAGCTCTTCAAAAGAACGAGGAGTTCATTTTTTTAGGATATTATGTTTGTTATTCCTATGATTTTTTTCTCTTTATTGTAAGAGAAAAATACAATACAGTTCACTTTTATAATATTCACTCAAGTTTAAAGCAGGCCAAAATGACCCGGGGGTCCAAACAGTCTCCTGATGGGAAAATAGGCAAACAGTATAGCTGAATAGACTTAGCAAAACACAAACCATTCACAAAGATTTCACAGTTACAGAAAAGTTTGCCACTCACACACACTTTTGTAAAAGTCTGCAAAAGGTCAACTGAATCAAACCATCTGCAGGTTCACATATTGTGTGGCGGACTGTAACACACAGTGAGTCAGTCGAGATTTTGTGTATTAATGCAAACAAAAAATTAAACAAGAGCTCTCAGAGAGTGCAACTTCCCCCGAAGGGCATGGGCTGTACAAAGAACTTTGATGTTTTATGATGTTTTTATTCCAATATGATGACATCAACCCGTTATGGCATCAATGTGACGTTGTTGGACTTTGTATTGGAAAAAGCGTGTTGTGCAGCTCTCTCCGTCGCCTTTCATATAATATATTACTCGATGTGGTTGCTTGACATTTTTTTTTCAAGGTTAACTTTGACCGTGGCTGCTAACAATGAAGGTGAAAGTCAAATGTTAGCCAAACTAGGTATTCATGCCGCCCAATACCTAGTACATTGTTGTGACATTTAAAGATGATCAAAAAGAAATTGTGGGTAATATAATATTTTAATTTCACATTTGGTGTGACCTTGACCCAATTTTCACAAAAATGAAATCAATTATGAGTATTTACCATCACATTAATTTTGAAAACTGTGGACACTAGACCGCTAACAAACAGAGAAACACACAAACAAAAAAACTGTACAGATTAGATACTTGCTCCCTTCAGGGGGGAAGAAAAAATTGTCAAGAGCATCTTTAATAAGTTTCTTCTCTCGTCTTTCAGCTTCATATCCCTCTGAGGCTGCTGTGTGGCGGCCTGCTTTTCACCTGCAATGCTGTGATGTGGACCTTCCTTGCCAAAGCACTCAGGTATTCCTCGTCCTCCACCCGAACCACTGTGACCACCACTGCCTCCAACTTCATATCTTCCGTAAGTGAAAATCTGTCTCTTATAGGTCTTACTTCATGTCCTCTGAGTGAAATCCTTTACATCAGACAGTAGAGGGTGATAATAATTTCACGTTGACCTTAACGTCCTTCTTTCTTACATAACCTGATTTATTTTAGAAAATAGGCTAGACTGTATTCAGAAATAACTTGTCACTGTGATTTATGGCTCTTCATTGTTAAGCTCAGCAGGGATATTGGCCATTAGGGCACCTTTATTGGCAATTTGTTTCTAAAAACAGGCATGATGTTTTTTTCTTTGCAGGCTTTCCTGGGCCAGCTGATCTTTGGGGAAGCCCAGATAACATTGTGGTGGGTTGGGATCTCTCTGACCTTCTCTGGTTTGTTGGTACTGCAGAGGGTTTCGCCGCAGGATGGACAACAGAACACGGTTGCCAAAAAAGATGAATAATGTGACCTGTCTCTACCAGCTGGCTGTGGTTTGTGGTCTGTTTTGGCAGACATCTTCTCTGACTTCATTAGAGCCAAAGAGCAGTAAAATCTGAAACAGCAGTTGAATTTAAAGTGTTTTCTTCTTTAATCTGGGCACACCTGGAAAATTCATTCTAAGTTATTATTCCACTTGTTAAAGAGCAAATGGAAATAGTTGTTTTCTTCCAGTCATATAACAAAATCCAGTTTCACCTGTTTAGCCTAAAGTGAAATTATTAATCAACATACTTAAAAAAGGATTGCTTTATTGAAATCAATATCTGTTTTACAGGTTGCTGTTTGTAGCCCTGCAGGATGTAAAACCCTGCTTGTTCAGCTGTGGTGCAGCCTTGTTTAGCCCTTTCCTAAAGTCAGAGGAGATGTTGGCTTTCAGACAGTCAAACCAGAGCACATCCAAAGTCTGGCTAGTAGAGACAAAATAATGGATGGCTAAGTCTGAAATCATCTCTGTCCACATGTTTTACAAAGAAGCAAAAATTATACTAGCTTTACGTTACATTTTGGAAAGTCAACAATAGCACAACAGCTTCTGAGCTAATGGAAAAGATAAAAAGGAAGATAAATAAAAAGGTTGTTAGATATTTTGGGAAATGCATCTGTTTGATTTCTTTTTGAGAGTTACATGAGAAGATTGATACCACTAACATGTCTTTAGAGACATACTTTATGAAGCCTCATCTGGCATAATTTAGCCTGACTGGAAATCAAAGGGTAGCTGGCCTGGCTCAGTGTCAAGATAACCAAATCTCCTTTTAAACACATTTTATTTAAATAATTAATGCATTATGTCATGTTTGTGTAATATATTCATAAACAGAACTGCAAAATGACATTTAATGTCTTTGCAGGTCAATATGTGTGAAACTACTTTCTAACTAAGGGTAGTGACTTCCTTCCTTTTAAAGGGAGTCATTAATACCAAGGTGTTGATTTTACTCTTTGGTTTTTGACACAGAACACAAGCTGGGAGTTACTAGATTATTAGGGGAAAAGTGAATGGAGACCATAAATGACCAAAATTATTGTAACTGTGTGCTATAAACCTGCGATATTGTTGCCTTTGAAACAGTTGCTTCAAAGACGGAACTGAGTCTGTGATCATTTGTAGTGGCTGTCTTCAGGCAATAAGAGCAACTCTGCTATCAGTTTGCTATTGAATGGGTCCAAATTGGCAACTACATGCGACCTGTTGTGGTACTCCAATGATTAAATAAATTAGTGAAAATTTGCAAATCTGTTGCCATCTGCATATACAGAAAAATCACATTAACTACTTGCACTCAGAGTCCAACCAGAATCTCGTAGATTTGAAAGAGAAGTTCCTCCACAATTAGTAATGTAGTTACTATAGGACAGCAGTATAACTGTAAAGTGACGTAAGTTGCACTCATCAGCACAGACAGACTCAGATTGATTGCATCATGTTGGCAATAATATTTTCAAACCCTTGTCAACCTGTCTGAGAGCAGTTGCTGTCACTCTGAGTCAGACTCTGATTTTCTGGAGAGAGGTTGCCTCCCACCAGGCAACCTGTGCAATTGTCTTGCAACTGAAAGTAACTGCAGAGACTGAAAGTGTTAGATGCTCAGTCTCTGAGTGACCAGTTGGTTGCCACAACTAGTCATCTGGCAACAACCAATTTTTTCCAGGTGCAAGTAAGTCACCATCATATTTTACTCTAGTGTGACTGAACCATTAGACAGACTTTGTCCACCACCATTAACTGTATAGACATGAGAGTAATCAATCTTTTCATCTGACTGTCTGCAGGAAAGGAATAGATACATTACTGTAAATGGAAATCTTTATAGGAAAACTCAAATAATACAGAAGGATAATTTGAGAATTTCTGCACATATTTGATTTCCATGTGTCATCATTAGCAATGGACAAATAACATCTTCTGCTCTGTGCATCACTCAGCCTGTGCATTAGGTATTGTATTCCAAAAAGCTCTCTTAATTCTCCCATTTCCTTAAGTTACTAAGACACTCACCACAACATCCAGCACCAACATTGCATTTTATGCATGCTCAAGGCAATGTTTTATAAGTGAAGTCCTTAGCTAATGAAGTGTGCTTATATTTTCACAAGTAATAATGCTTCTGATGTAGCACTCAAAGGCTTATCCCCCCGAGAGGAATTCTCTCTCTGCCTGAATTTATTTATTTTTATCTGCCTTTCTTGACAGCTTGAACCTTAACCTCGAGATATGAGCATGACACATATTTTGATTCAGAGGCAGCTGATTTTCGATTTCATGATAGATGTGTGCATATTACCAAGAGGGCCTGAACTCAGATAAATCACACCAAAGCATCCTCCTGCATCTACAATCCACTCAGAATCAGAGTGACGTCCCCTTTGTGAACCGCTTCATTAAACTTGTAAACTTAAAAAGTGTCCCCCGCTATCTCTCCAGTGCCAGGCCTTGCGATTGCCAGTTTAGCTTCTTTGACCTGAATTTAAATTCTCATATTAGTCTGTCGCATATCTTGAATAATAATTCATTATTTCTTTGGGCTTCATAGACATCTCTGTTCGCTAACAGCTTCCATCAACATCTCTGGATGAGTCGGTGAGAGTGCAATAACGTATTTTCTCATACACTGTGACGTGTGTTACGGAGGGAGCTGTGAACATTAATAAATGAAGAGAGAAAATGTCAATATATGCTACCAGAGGGAGGTTCTCTTAGTATAATCAGCTACAGGGATTTGCCTGAACAAGACATCAAAGGCTGCTTTAATGAACAGATCACATTTTGCTGTTGTTTGGATACATATCATAATATAAATGCATAATGGTAGCTATGGTACCTGTCTGTAGTATCTCACAGCAGTAACGCACAAATATATCAAATGTCCTTCCAAGTGCTGCTGTGAAGGTTTTGTACCATGTGATTTGCATCCCAGTTAATGTGACTTCAGTGAAAATGTGACTATAATATTATCTTCTCATATTCAAGCCACGCCGAACAATATTTCATAGCAGGGATGTACATGAAGCATCATCAGGTGTTTATGCCTCAATGTTTTGCTTTAATTTAAAAGTAACAGTAAGATATTTTAACAGGAGCCTGATGAGACCATTATACCACTCTGTAAAAAAGCTTTAAGTGGTCAGCAAGACTAGAAGAGCGCCTATATGCTAAGTTAAGCTAATCAGCAACTGTTAGTTAGCTTAGCTCTCCAAAATATTTTAAATGGACTGTAAATACCAATACATTTGAAATTACAAGCTAAGCTGTTGGTTAGCCTAAGACTAAAAAGACTAAAAAGAAGATTGCTAGTAAATAACAATTCGATTTATATCCTATGCTAAGCTAATCAAGTAGCTAACCTAGTTAGTTAGCTTAGCATGATTTAAAAATTGTTACATAAATCCATATGCCAAACCATTTACCACCTAACTTAAACTAACCAGCTTGCAGCTGGCATAAAGACTACAAACGGTTGCAAGCTGATTCAGATAACATCAATTCTTAAAAATGTCAAACTCATTCATTGTCTGATTAGTATCAGTGTTCAGAGACTTTGCTTCTAGACCCCGTATCATAATGACTTTACATATTTATACCTAGAGAGTCTAAATGTTAACAAAGAAATATGTCAGTGAGTTTTAGAGGGGTCTTTTTGACAGATCCTCCTTCTCCCATTTGCAATCTTAATGCTAGGCCTATCTATGGGGTTCTTGGCTGTGGTAATGATCTCATCTGGCTCACAGCAAGAAATTAAATGCTGATGTATTTCTTTAATCTGCCTTTAATATCTGCCTGGCTTTTCTCCAGTTAACGGCATGATATGGGAAACCATGTTCCTGTGAAGCCACTCTCACTGTAAGATAAGCATCCAGAGATTCTGCAGTAGCAAAAATTATAGCTTTGTGAGAGCAGCGTGGTATTGAAGTGGCATGCATTTCTATCCGTGGGTGTCCAAAGTGATTAGAAAATCACTATAGTAGGGCTTTGACCTGACAAGCTGCATGTCACAATGACAAGTTAATATGCTGCACTGCAAAAAAACTAAAATGGTCTTAAACAGTCTTTAACTTGGTAGCTCCGTAATCCAACTATATGATGCAGCTGTTGAACCCAAATGATAATAGAATGGGTCATTTTCTGGTGATTTCACTACAGGCAAGATGCTGCATTCTGCATGCTCTATCCAGGCAGCTCTTTGATTTAAAACAGAATATTTCAAATAGTGACAAAACATGACTCTTCTACTGCGTGCTGGAAATTGTAGAGTTCATGTGAAAACAAGATAAGGGGAGCTCACTGAAGACCTGAAGGAAAACAGACTGATTTTGTGTCTGTTGTACTCCGGCTCCTGCTATAAGCAGCTCAGTCATCGCTTTAATCTGAAAGCTGCTACACCAAAATATTTCTTCTCATGTTCAACTTTTTAATATGCATTGAGACAGTTTGATTAGATTGCTCTGATATGAATCATTATTAAAATGCATTACAGATTATGTGGAACAAACATTTGTAAAAGTGTAAATATATTGTTAATATAGAAAAATGTGTAAAGTAAGATCTCCATTGAGAGAAGGACCACCCAACCTATTAAACATCTCATCTAACAAACGGATTGTTGACTCATTACTGTGTTGTAGTACGATGCTCTTAATAAATCTGAAGCTCTACTGTTTCCGGTTAATTCAGATTGAATAGGAGTGTGCGTTTTCATGAAGAGAGGAGGAAATTCAACCACAGGAGTGTCCGATAAAGAGCAGCATTACTGTTGATAATGGGGCTGGAGAAAGTGCTGTCCTCGAGCTAGTTTACATCTAATTGCACAATGAGATGTGTGCTCTATTAGACTGGCCTCCTTTCTTTAAGTAGTCTTGTTCCAGTAAAAATGGAAAACAGCCCTTCATGAAATCTGCAAAAGTACACTCAAAACTTAAAGGCAGCAACCCTTCAGATTGTGATTCAACGGATGTCATTCATCCTTTGAAGGTTTTGAAATGATGAAAATCTGTAATTCTACACAGATTGCACAAATTGAGGTCTCCTTCCTGTCAAAAGGGAGTTCTTCTTTCACTTTTGCAAAGTGCTGCTAATGAAGAACTGTCTGATTGTTGGGAGTTTCTTTCTAATACGTTAGAGTCTTTACCTTATACATTATAAGTCAGCGGTCCCCAACCTTTTTTGCGCCACGGACCGTTTTATGTCCGACAATATTTTCGCGGACCGGCCTTTAAGGTGTCGCGGATAAATACAACAAAATAAAACCATTACCGGTACCAACAAAAAGAAAATTTACTCATAATACATGGGAAAAGACCCAGGGAAACAGATTTAACGATAAAAACTGACAAAACCCCTGAAAAACATACGTTTCACAGCTGAGCCTCAACTCTAGCAGCCCGGTACCAAACGACTTACGGAACCAACCGCTGTTATAAGTGCCTTGAGCTGACGACTGTTTTAAGTTATATAACAATAAGCTATATAACTAGCTATATAAGCTATATAAGCTATATACAACAAGCTATATAACAATAGGGGAATTTGAATGTTTCTATTCAAATTTATATAAATACATTTTAATTGAAAAGACAGTTTATAGTTTAGTGAGTTAATTCTTAATGTATATTTGTATGACACCATTAGATATAAATTATATAAAATATCTGACTGTGATGAAAGGATAATTAAAGCTGGACCATGAAAATGTATACATAACTGATAAGTGCCAGGACTTCTTTTCAAACCAAATATCCAATACATTGTCACCACTTTTTCCTCCATTGTTTTCCAAAATACTGAGCTGTAAACAAATAATTTTTAAAAAAGTGAATTCTAATTAAATAAATGCAAATCAAGTCTGTAACTTCAACTTTGTTGATATAATTACACATTGCAGTTTAGATATGAGATTTTAGGTCTACGCTTTTACAGTATTTGTGTGTGAGGTTATGCTGTTTTAATGTTAAACACATTTTTGAAAATGTTTTTCAGCCTTAGATAGAAGCTTCTGTAATGAAGAATCAGCTGTTAAATAAGGATTGTGGCATCAATACTATCCATCACTAACATCTTTGCATCAAAAATGTCTACAAGATTACACAAACAGTAAATAAAATATCCATAGTCATACATTTTATTTCATATCCTTTGAAACAAATACAATGGTCAGAAAAACAAAATAAAAACCACGTGGCCCACAGTAAATAAGACAAATAAGTTTGCATACCGACCACAGAACATTTTTGAGAGGAAGAAGAAAAAAAAAGCTGGTGTGCTGTATGTGTAAACCTGTTCCGTGTCCACATAATGGTTGCAACATTTAAAAACCTAAGAAAATCTAATTTCTGACAACTGTTTTAATGGCTACATCCTTGCCTCCCCTCCTTTAGCCTTCAATTTGGCAACACATATATTTATAATATCTTTTCATCATCCTCTAAATCATGTTTTTTGTTGTTTTGTTTTTTTAACTCAAGTAAGGCTTTTAATAACACGTTCTGGCAAAGGCATTTAAGTGTTAAATGCTTTGAAGATGCCCATTTCTTATCTGCATCAGATTCTCATCCTCAAAAGTAAAATCTGAAGTTTCCTCTGTTCCATTAAAATCCACAGTTGTGACAGTTACACACTTCCAGCCCGAGTGAACATTTTCTCTGAGCTCCCGCCTCCAAAAAACATAATTACAATGAAAATCTGTGACAAACCAGACCACAAGCGAATTCCATCAACTGAGAGCAAGTAAAATACACTTAGTGTCAACACACACAGAGCAACGTGTATTGCTTGATTCCCTGACTTTCTGTCTCAGCTGGTGATTGTTACAAAGCAAATGAAACGAAAAGTTCAAAAGGATGCTGGTTTAACTTCAGTTTTATATTCAACCAGGAAGTCACTGTAAGTATCTTACACCTTTACCTGCCTAGTATCAGACTTGAAAGTTATAACCCTTAAGCTTTTCAGGAAATTGAACTCTTTTGGTTTTTACACTTTTAGCATTTTTGGACAACATTATGACATCCAGTTTATTTACTTTCTCTAACTGCTTTTCTACATAGCCACCTTATTAGGTAGTCTAATGTAATTAAACGCAGCTCTGCCATAAAAATTTTCACAGCTATTCAATTATAATCCAATCAGTCACAACATTAAAATCACTGAGAGACCAAGTAATTAGCATTGCTCATCTTATTAATATGAGATGATCTGCTGGGCACCTGGGAAGATTGGCATTCACATGGCTGTTACTTTCCCATGTACCACCCACTTAAATGTTACAGCAAAACAGCCTCCACAAACATGCCAACGTGCCCGACCCTTCTGTAAAAACCATCCAGGAACAGCTTGATGAACACAACAAAGAGCCCAAAGCATTGACCTGGAGTCCAAGCTCCCCAGATCAGAAGTGGGATCAAGTATCCAATCATGTGACTGGAACAAGCCCAATCCATGGAGGCCACACCCTGAAACCCACAGGACACAAATGCTGTCCTGCCAGACACCACAAGATCCACCTTAAAGGTCATGTATTAATTCCTCAATGGGTCAGAGCATTTTTTGGCAACACGAGGAGGACCTTCACAATATTAGAAGGTGATCTGAATGTTTAGTTTAAACTTTCGGCATTCATTACTTGTTCAAAGAAAGGGGGAAAAAAAGTATTTGAAAACATAAATTTCCCAATATTCCTCCTTTAAATCTCACCTCTGTAAGACACATATTGATGATTTCTATGAAGGTCATCAAAAAATAAAAGGCTTGAAAAGTTAAGGTAATATTTACAGCAGAGCTGCAGATTTTTTGTTAGTCTTACATTACGCAATTAATCATGCACAATTTAAACTGCCAGCATAAGCAAGTGGAAGTGCTTAATTCAGTCAGTGCTAGCATCTGTACCAGCTGTTTAAGATGCATCTAATGAAACATTTCTTACATGCTCTGCTGGCCAAACACAAAGGAAGTTTTATTGTGAAGCTAACGCAAAGTGATTGTCAGAGTTTAATCTTCAAATTGCCTTTGGCTTAGCATTTTATGATCTAGCCGATAACCTTCACGACCCGATCAGACTTTTTCTAGATGTTGTGACGCTGGATTGGTTTTAAATAAAAAAAATCATAAGAAGATAGGTGCTGCAAGACTCAGGTTACTTGTAGAAAATGAAAAGAAACCTTGTTTTACCTGGATGCTCTGTGGGCAGATACAAACACTGGTCAGCAAGTGTTTAGTGCAATATAAACTGACCAAGTAGCACAGAAATCTTAAGGGTTATAACTTTAACCAGCCACCGTGAGGTTATTGCTGTTCTCCATTTTCAGAGTCCTCTTGAAAAACACTTGAAACTTTTCCAAAATGTGATTTCTTGCCAGAAAAGTTTGCTGTTACATTTGTCTTTTGATTGCAGTAATGCAAGAAAAAGACAAATGAAATGGACAAACCTACTTTTCTCTGGCAGCAAAAAGAGGAAACAAGTAGCATTAACGAGTGTGAGCCTGAACTGTCACATTAAGGCAAATAAATAGAAATAGCTTTACAAAAAGCAGATTCCACTGCTCACTAATGGTCTGTTCTAAGGCAAATCATCCGCAGCATTCAACAAAAAGACTACCGCGACTACATTAATAAAGCAAATGAAGGAAAAAGGATAATTTTTTACAGGAAGACAAAACCAGGTGTTCATTGTGGCAACCATGCTGCGCTTCTTTGAGTAGAAACATTCAGGACTTGAGTTCACATTGTGTAGTCTTAGAAGTAGGAGATGATTGAAGATACTGCAGGCATATTCACTCCAGCAAATGCAAAACTTAGTCTCTTGTTGTGTTTTGCCAGAGTCTCATTAGATGCTTCTTGTCAAGATGCTGCTGCGTAGCTTAAGAGCACTGTATCGTGCAGCTACACCTCGTTAATCTCAGTCAGCACCAAAACGGGGGAAGGGCAACGGCAAAATTTAAAAAGGAAAAACACATTTTACAGCAAAACACCCTGAAATATCAATAGTTCCTAGAAGAAAGAAAATTTAGAAGTGGTTAAGAGAAGTTTGTGCTCCAGGCAAGAGTGATCAGTCTATGTCCGCAGACACTTAGAATCCAGCTTTCACACTATATACTGATACACATCTGCCTTTCCATGGTCAGGTGTTGCAAAGGGGCTCAGCCAGGCTATAGAGAATGGGTGGCCAAACACCACCTTCATATTCATCCATTTAGACTTTTTGGCCCATTTCCTCTCCTCCTTCTTCAGCTGCTCGATACCCTGCAAAAAGGGTAAGGCAACGCAGTGTGAGTTAAATTCAGCCCTGATACAAAACATCGAAACATGCGGCTGCTGAATGAGGGATTAAAAATGAATCACAATTTGTATTCTTTTGTTTTCCTTTCACAGGTCTTAGGTGACTCACTCTCAGTGGTTCCTGACATTTAAGAAAGCTCACAGGATAAACCAACACAGTCAACAAATGGAGGCCATATAACACTACAATTGACAGTTCTTTGTAGTGATAAGTCTGTGAGTCAGAGCTGTGGGTGTCTTGAGCAGAAAATGCATTACTCTGAACCCACCTGGAGGACGAACTAATAGACAGGTCTAGTTTATTTTGGTTCAAGGTTCTTTATTTGT